TCCTGCTGGCTTTCCAAAAACAGGACAGTTCTGGGAGAATGAGCTGAATTTCTATTCTGGCTCATGTACCAAACAGAATTGTTTATCAGTGTCAGTCGCCGAGTCTTTATTGCAAACAGTGATATATGAGTCAGAAAGCAGACGAGTGGTAATTAGAACAGAATGTTTTTAAAGTTGTGAATTAAGCAAATTTGATCAGAAATCATTGAAGGACTCAAAAATCCTGTCATGCCATTTTGGAGCGTCACTTTCAAGAACTCAAGCAGACACAGAGACATCACTTCACGTGGTAAGTGCCACTATTTACATGGTAGCTGTTCTAGCAGCACCCAGCAACCTTAGCCAACAGTTTGAGACAGTAAAGAATATCATTTCCCACTGAAAACAAAGAGAAGCTTGTGACAGACAGGATGTCATAACATGAAAACTTGTGGTAAGATGGGCACAATTTATACTGGAGTAAAGTCTGAAGATCTATCATTTTGCAATTCAAATCCAGCCCCCAGCTCTGGTTCCCTGCATTAATTCTCACACTGTCTGACAACTATTCAGGGACCACCCTCAGGAAAGTTCAAATCATCCAGGAGAATTTTGATCAAGTGGCTGCACCCTCAGTTTTGACACTCAGCAAAATTAGAGGGGGAAGCAAGAGGCTGAATTGGAAGACAGCTCCATCACCTCCCCTCTCACCTCTTTTGCTTCTCACGGATCTGGGCTGAAACAAAGCTGGTGCTCAAATACTCCTTTTAGGTATGTCACCTCTGCTGACCAGCACTGTAGTCCGTGGATCTGCACTACTACACCCAAGCTTGAGTGCCCACACCACAAAGGTGCACTCAGATCACAAGAGCCACATGAGAGCCCCATGCTATCAGACAAGATGCTAGGATTCCTGGGAAGCATCCCACGATTCGACTGCTACAGCAAGTTAACGTTTAGACCTTCTTTTCAGCAGACGATGAAGAACCCTGTCTTGGGCACAGAAGAGGAACTGTGGGAAAGCATTGGCAGACTAGCAGATGTTTTAGTCTTCATGCCTGGCAACCTGGTATATTTTGGAAGTATGTAAATATATTCAGCTTAGGCCATTAGGTCAACAGCTTTTCTCCTACTAGTGGTAAACGTGCTAAAAAAAAAAAAGTTACTAGGACTACATAAGTGGCAGTGGATTGATGAGGTATTTGTGTCTGGGGGTATCTTGGTTTACACGAAACATGTACTTCAATGCACAAGCTGTCACTTCAGATTTTAACGTGTTAAGTCTACACAGGTTAGAAACTTGCCTTTGACCCTCAACTCTGTGCATCTTTGGGAGATAGTCCTTGATGTCAAAAAAACAGTGCAAGTCCTGAGATCACTCTTTAAGAGCTCTTAACTCTAATGCTGTTCTTGCTTAGACGACACAGAAAGGAAATAAAAGCTCAGAAGAATTATACCAAGTTTCCTGAGAGGCAAACCACAGTGAAAAAATAGCCTTGTTTATTTGAAATTCTGTCAATAACAAGTATGTATTAAAGACCAAATCCAGCCCTAACAAAAGTTGGAGTAAAACAATGATTACTTCAGGACTGAACTTGACCCTAAAAATATTCTTGTAAAGTTTGTGGCACTTCAACTGCTTCCCTGGAAAACACAGAGGACAACCATAAGCAGACATCTTCTTTAAAAAAAAAAAAAAAAAAAAAGTTACATTTCTTCAACTCAGTTGTGCTGTTATGTACAAAATGGAAATGACTTAACTAGTTGTCAGGAAAACACTAAGAATCTAACAAGTGTATCGCCAAGCCAATACCAAAGTCTTAGTTGAGATATGAAATTGTTCGTCTTCATTGATTTGACTCGTCTATTCTCCTCCGACAGAATGGACAACAATTATGCTGAAGTACTAGAAGCTCATAGTCTTCTGAGTGAAACATCTGTGAATTAGATTTAGAGACAAGTTACCTCGTGACAAGCTCAAAGAAAATGCAAACCACCTCTTTTCCAGGACACAGATATTCTGAGGCTACTATTACAAGAGGATTGGCCCTCTGATTTTCAATTGTTTGCAAGAGCTACAACCTGAAATAGAGCAGCAAATATTTCACAGACCACCATCCATGTTGTAGAAGAGGCACAAACCAATTGCTTTTGCAGAAGGAAAGACAAAAATTAGATGGTTTCTGTGTAACCAAATGTAACTAGACTCCAGTATTTCAGAAAGTCATTCCTGAGAGGTGAAGGAGAGGTAGAGGGACTGAACCACAGGCCAACATTGCTTACTCACTCATTTCCCCTGCTAGACCAGGCTGAAAGTCAGAGAGGAGAGAGGCAGCGCAAAAAGGAATAAATACAGCATTTCTGTCATTCATCTGAGGTTTGCTCGAGTGGCTCTGACCCTTGCTATCAGTGCAACTCCAAAGTATTCCTTTCAGCCCCAGCCACCTCAAACTTCTCAGAAGGCAGCTGTTCCTCTGCAAGTCTCACAGCTTCTTTTGCTGTTCTTTTATCTGCCTTCCCCCTCTCTAAATCGTTTAGGGATTTAGTGAAAACATTTTAAGGTTTGCAATAACAATGCTTAGAATTG